TAATAATTCCTATTTATCTCTAAAAGTGGAATTCTCTCTTCTCTCTGCGGGTCTACATTCTTTTCCCATGAAGAGGAAATTGATTCTATCATTCAGTATTAACACAAGAGAAAATCTCTGCCCTCCATGGAGAATTATAAAAGCCAATAATGAGCTATGGGCTGAGTACTAAGGATAGACGAGTTACGAGAGATACCAAAGAGAAATTGTACTATATTATTGACCAGGAGGGTTTAAATTGTGTTTTGAGGGATGAGTAGGAATTCTCCACACAGACACACAGGCATACAGGAAAGCCCAAGACTGTGTAGGAGAACACTGAGAAACTGTGTCAGAGGGAGGAGCAGAGGCTAAGGAGAGGTTACCTTTTGAGATCATATTAGGTAAATACTATTGAAAAATGAACACAGGGACCTCAGTGGCACCCAATAATTAGTACTCATATCTCACTTTCAACAGAAGGTAGACGGGCTTAAACATGCCCAGTTGTCTCCCTTCCTCTCCAGGGGCCATTCAAGCACCAGAAGAGCAGCCTAGGCACTTTTTCCATATCACTAAGCACATCTTAACGCCTTCAGCCAACTCTCCCCTTTCTTCCCTCTCCCTCCACCTCTTAACCCCTTCCCATCAGAGAAACATCTATCTCCCTATCTCCTATGATTTTTTGTCTTGTTGTTTCTTTATATTTTGGCTTTTTCACATAGGAGAAACCAGGCGATGTTTCAGCTTGTGTGTCTGACTTATTTCCCTTAACATTGCGGTCACGTTTATGGGTCCTTATAATGGAGTAGTACTCCGCTGTGTGTAACATTTCCCTTATCCACTTACATCTCGATGGACACATGGGCTACTTCCAAGGTTTAGCTATGAACTGTGCTGCGATACACATGGGCAAGCATGGATCACTGTCACATGATGTCTTTAAGTGTTCTGGGAAGATATGTTGAAAACGAATAGCTGGGCCAAATGGAATTTGTAGTTTTAGTTTTCTGAGGAATCTCCATGCTGGCTTCCCTAGTGGTTGTCCGAGTTTGCACTGAAAGCTAACACGGATGTTCTGCAGACACACACCCTTCCTTGTTTCACAGCACCGTGGAGTTGGAGAGGAAGCCACCGTGGCTTTCACCAAAGGCAATAATGAGTAGTCTTTACAAATGGGGATCCCAGAACAAATCCTGGCTGCCATCCATGGTCACAGACCTGTGTTTCCATTTTCTGAACCGCAAACGGAGATTTCTTCTCCAGGAGGTTCCTGTGAGCATTAAAATGGACGAAAATGGGCTCAGTGGGGTGACTGGGACACAAGCAGGGCTCAGTTCTCCAAATGCCCTGTATGAGAAGACTGACTCCTTCGGAGTCTGAGATGGGAGAGTGCCAAGACAGGGGAGGGAGACCCCTGTCAGCAAGGCTGCCGCTCACCCACATTCATTAGTGGCACCTAAGTGAGCTCTCAGGGGTCACCTTATTCTAGGAAGAAAGCGTCAGCCGAAGAGATGCATTCAGTGTAGAATTTCAAGCTCTCCAAGGCAGGAGAGGAAAACCTTACATGACTCTAGGAAACTATGTGCTTTTTTTTTAATTTTATTTAAGGAGAGGAAAAAAAGCAGAAAAGGGGTACAAGTTATACAGAATTTCAGAAAAAATAAACAGTAGGAAATCACTAGTTAATAGATTACATATTGTCATCTTAGAAGTAGTTGTTCAAGTTACAAAATTAAAGCATATAAAGTGGACTTTCAAACAGTGAGATTGCAAACAGTTCTGTTCAGTGATCAAACAAAACTCAGTAATATGGTTATCTATCTTATACACTTAAATATACATGCAGTTATGTCCTTTAGAGCACTTTCTTTTCCTCTGTTTTGTACAATGACAATTACACATTTGGGGTTTTATTACTGCCACGGTTCTTATTACTTTTTTTTTGAAGAAGTGAAACCAAATGTGACATAACAGAACAGAGTCAGTCAAATCAAAAGGATGGACATAATACATAGTGTAAAAACAAAATACAAGGTTGATCAACAATGGTTACCATAATGCCTCTTGCTATCTTAAAAAGAATTGCCTATATCATCAGTTATAATAAAATTGAACAAAACAGTAAAGAATAAAACCAAAACATTGGAGACATTACAGGACTTCAAAAGAAGATAATAGTCAACCAGAATGGGCGTCATAATGAATCTTATTGTCTTCACATTTGTTGCCTATACTTTTGAACTTGGTACTATCAAGCAAAGCAGAATAGGGGAAAATCAGTCAAAACAAGATGGTGAGAGCAATACAGGGTTTCAAATCAAGTTAATAGGAAATCAAAGTGGGTTACCATAATATATCCTGCTATTTTTATTTATTTTCCCTTAATTAGAAAGATAAAAATAAAAAAGTAAATAATTTTAAAAAGGAGGTTGAGATAAAAGAGGGCATAACAACAAAACAGCGCAGGTCAAAACATAACCATTTAAGCAAAATGGTGTTTCACCACAAATATCCTGACATAAAAGTAGTTACCGTAGTGTCTCTTTCCTTGAAATTTTTGAGTATAACTTCATATACTGTGGCACCAAACATATCAAGACTATGTAAAACCATTCAAGAAAATGACAGTATTACAGGGTATTTAGAACCAACTATCAGAAAATGAACAATGGTTTCTGTATAATCCCCTTGTCTATAAATATTTTTGTTTATATTATCACAAGTAATAAAATCCAATAAGATATAACCTGTTAAGACTGATGGAGACAGAAGAATAAAAGCTTGAAGGGACTTCAAGACAAGATGATACTAAATCAGCACTAGCTATTATGATGTCTTGTTTTCTCCAAAATAGCTGTTCCTACCATCCAACTTTCTCTGCCTCATTTCTGTTGAGCTCTTTTTCTGTCATTTGTTGTCAGTTTGTCTTCTTCATTTTGCTTTCTGCTCCATTCATTGTGGCCTCTCTGCCACTGTTTCTGGAATCTTGGTATTTTTCTTTTTTAGACTATCCTACAGTATTCTCTGTAGAGTTGAACTGGTGGTTGCAAATTCCCCTAGTTCCTCTTTATCCAAGAAGCACCTTGTTTTTCCATCAATTTTGAGGGACAATTGTGCAGGATATATCAATCTTGGCTGGAGGTTATTATCTTTCAAAGCTTTATTTCCCCCCACGCTCTTCGTAATTTGATGGTTTGTACTGAGAAGTCTGCTGTAATTCTGATAGGTGTTCCCTTGTAAGTGATCTGTTTCTTGTCTCTGATGGCTTTTAATATTCTGTTCTTATATTGGATTTCTGGAATTTTGATTATTATATCCCTGGGTGTATCTCTGTTTGGGTTGTAGGTGACTGGGGTACTGTATGCCTCATATATCTGAGTATCTTTACCTTTTGCTAAATTAGGGAAATTCTTCTGGATTATTTCCGTGAATAGCTTTTGTCGTTCATTTGTTTGTGTCCCTACTTCTTTTATGTTCTTAATTCTTAAGTTATAGATCCTCTTATCATCTTCTAGCCTTTGTGTTATTGCTGTTTGTTTCCTTGTTATTTTTAACAAGTTTTTCATTTCATGCTCCCACATTGCAAATCTGTCCTCCAGTTCAGATAACCTATCCTTAGTTTATTTCAAGCTGTTATGCCAGTTTTCAATAGAGTTTTTAGTTTCCTGGTAATCTCTTTGAACCTGCTTCACGTATTCTATGTTTTCTCTATTTTCTCCATCAAACAATTCTCCCCTTTTTTTCTGTTTTTCCATTCCACCATCTGTTTTTTCTTGGGTGGTGCTTAGCATTTCTCTAACTATTCTACTTATATCTTGCTTTATTTCATTAAATACGTCACTTTTGAACTCATCTCTGAGGCTCCGGAGATATCGCTTTATGTCTATTGGTGCTGTGTCTGATAGTGCACGTTTTCTGTCCTCATTCTCCTTTGCATTTACCTTTCCTGGATCAGTGTTCTCAGGATTGGGGACTGAGGACCCTTTCTTGTTGCTCCCTCTTCCCATACTTTATGCTCCTTCCATACAAGCGTATATAGGAGGCCCAGTTTTTTTCTTTGTCAGTTACAGTTTGTTTGAATTGCACTGACTAGGTGTTCCTGCCCACTGCAGTGTACTAGGGAGACACAGACCTGTGCAGCCTCTGCTGGGCCCACCCCTCTAGGTCAACTTACTGAAGGCTTCACTGCTAGGGTGCACCACCAGGTGCTGGGACCTGGTTTGGGCTAGCCTACTGGGTCTTAGTCAGCGGCATCACCCAGGCCAAGCGCTCTACACCAATCCCGCTTTAGAGGGGAATATGTGATGAAAGTCACTGCAACATCCTGCTCCGGCTTGCCTGCCCAGTCCCAGAATGTCCTCTTTTGGAGCCTCCTAATCTATGGAAGGGTCCCCGTTTCTCTCACTCACTGCTGGTCATGCAGGGCTCCCCGCCAGTCCCACTCTCAACTCCGTTCACCGATTCCCACTCTCAGAGCTTTCACGAGTCTCTCTTCCTGTTGTGACAATTTGGACGCAGCAGCAGCAGCAGCAGGAAATTCAAATCACAGCTTCCAGAGGGGCAGGTTCCAGCTTCCATGCTGAGATTTTATCTGTTCTGATTATAGCAATGGGATTGCATTTCCAGTTGGTTTCTCTCAGCTTAGTTCATTCCTGGGTCGGCAGGGTATATCTTCCCTTGCTTAGAACTCCTAACACCGCACCATTCCTGGATTCTAAGCTGGGTATCTCAGAGAGCCTCCATAGCTGCTGTTATCTGTCCGCCATGTTCTCCTGGAAGTGAAACTATGTGCTTTTAATGGAATTGATCCCACCTACCTATACAAGCCCAGTTTTTCATCTTGCCAGAGTTATGTTCTACAAGAGAGTAGGCCTCTCCCTTCTCCAGGTATTCTGTAGTTCTTATTTGCTTCTCTGAAAGTTTTGAGTCTGAGTACAAACATAAAGATAAGATGCTTCTTTGTGGAGGAGAAAAAAATATCTCTCATGACTCAATTTCTTTTCTGTTATTATTTAAAGACATGCAATGCCTAGAGAAGCTCCTGAGAGATGCTGTCATCTATGGCCAGCCTCGAACCGGAAGGGCTTGGAGAAAGATTCTCATCCTGGTGGAAGGTGTCTACAGGTATTGAACCAGCTGGAGGCATGTAAACATTCTGATGCCCACACAAGTTGACCAGTGGGGGGAAGGCTGGTCTTTCCCAGGTACATGAAAAAATGAGTCCAACATAAAAATTATGGAGGAACCTAAGTCTACTACTAAAAAGAGTAGCCAAGTCATGGGCATCCCATCTTTGTGATTACTCTGCCCATATGCTCTAGACTTGAAGGCTGGCATGTTTTTAATGCCCTCCCATAAATGTCCTCAGAATGTGTTGCTAACTTGGGTTGATTCTTTACCTTTGGCTGCCTCAGAGTTTCAAAGACCTTTTATGGCTGTGCTATTTTTTTGTCAGAATATTTCTTACCTTTGTGCCTATCGTAAGTGTTCTCATGGGCAGCCCTGATTTGCTAACTGGGCACTTTGCTGGGAAGCACAGCAAGCCACCAACTGCTGCATGAACTTAGCCAATGATTGGCAGCAAAAAACAGAAAGCCTGACTGTGTGCTTCAGAAATTAACTCTGAGTACATTTCTTTCTCCAGAGCTGGGGAGCAGAATAATCTTAGCAACTAGAGATATATTGAAGGTCCAGTTTGCACCCACTACTCCATTTCAAGTTTCACTTTTACCTTGTGGGTGGGGATTGAATTTGTGTGCTGCTCTATCTGAGTTGCTTATCATCACTAAAATGAAAATTGAATCCAAACATGTCTTCTGCTGAGTGCCTTAGCTCATAAACCAAAGAAACGGGATCTGAGAGTGCCCACTCTTCAATCGGTGCTCAAACAATCCTGATGTTAAGGGAAGCAAGGAAGATATTCTTGATGACAAAAGTATAGAAAGTAACAGATATTAAAAAGGAAGGAAGAAAGGGCTATTTAAGCTTCCTAACTGGAGGAGGATGGCTGCAAAAGAAACCTGAGAGCAGATACAGCCTTTCTTTCCCCTAGTCACTCGCATCAGCCCCTAACTGTGTTACATGAGTAGCAAGTAACAGATTAAATGCACCTCCCAGTAGAGGGATGGATTCTCCCAAATTTAAAATAATAATCATGATCATAGTTGGTATCATTTTCATTTTAACTCTACTGCCAATCACCCGACAGCTGGATATCCTCAGTGCTGATGTGGTGCTGCAAAGTGGACCTTTCAAATTTCTAGTACCTGATTTCTCTACTACTTGGTATCCCCTCATATGGTCAGCCCCAACAACACGCACCATGTATGAATATACAGTGAGCGTTAAAAGTTTTGAAAATTTTTTACAGTAAAAAAAAGAAAAATGAAAAAGCTATTGCCAGTGAGCATTAAAAGTTTTGAAAATTTATTACAGTAAAAAAAAAGAAAAAACTATTGCCATTAACCCCACTTGCTCTGGACACACTGATCCCATTATCCCTGCCACTTTTTGGTACAGTTCTGGAAGTCCTTCTTCATGAGTGTCTTTGTGGAACATGATGAAAAATAAGGTGAATGCCATTGTCAGATGCCACCCATTGGAAAAGCAAGCTTATAAAAACATGTGTGACCTCCTCCACGTTTTCCACCAAATCTGGCACCACAGAATTTCTGGCTCCTCCCCAAAGTCAAAATAACTGTGAAAGATAAAGGTTTTTAATGGGTTCAGGACATCAAGGTGACCATGACAACACACTAAGGACACTCAGAACAGAAGACTTCCAGAAAGGCTTCAGGAGGTGACAAGAAGGATGGGAGAGTGTGTTCCAAGCAAGGTGGGGGTATTTTAGGAGGGATTAAAGGCAATGTGCCTTCTCCTGTAAAAATTTTTGTAATTTAAACATTCACTATAATTTTCATTTTCACCTCATACAGGGTGGAAAGATTTTCAAGCAACAATCTTGGGGTGCAATCTATTACATCAGCTTATTCATTCCAAGGTTTAGACAAAGTCTCATTTTCTATGTATGTCACTTGGCAGAAAGATTTCTTTTATCCCATCTGATTTCTCTACTACTTGGTATCTCCTCATATGGTCAGCCCCAACAACACGCACCATGTAGGAATATACAGTGAGCGTTAAAAGTGGTTGAAAATTTATTACAGTAAAAAAAAGAAAAAACTATTGAGGAACTGTGGCTCTGAATGACCTGACACTCTTTGTTCACAGAGAGCCTTGTCACCAGGCTCAGTGGAACCTGTTTTACATCTGTAAAATCAAGCTAGCTTAAGTGGAGTTGCAGAGAGCTGCATCTCAGTGGGAAAGATTTCATAAGACTGTTCCAGCTCACAGCTACACCAAAAGATGAAATTCCAAAGGGCCCAGGTTAAAAAATGTGAAATTAATAGTCCACAAATACACTTCTGCTTTTGAGAAGTATATTAAGGGCATACACTTGGTTGATAATTGCCCAAAGCTTCCTTTGAATTTTAACCAATTGGTGTTTTTCTCTTGCTTGTGGGCAAAATACTACCTTTGTAGAGAGTTCACATGCAACAATTTATTCATAATTCAAAAAAAAAAAAAAAGAACACATAATAGCCAAACTGGAAAGTTTGAAGCTATTTTCAAGATAGGAAAACCTAGGTATCAAGACTAAGAAAAGCGTAAGACTGCAAAAAAGTAATGATAATAACAACAATGATAATGTCATCATCAACAGGTGCTGCTATCTTTATGTGTAATATAGAAGAGTCAAGATTCGGAGGCAGGGAGACTGGGGATTTAGCTCAGCGGCATAAGTGCCTGCCTTGGAAGCAGGCAGTCGTGAGTTCGACCCCCGGTACCAGTAAAAACGAAAAAAAAAAAAGATTCAGAGGCAGGTCTGGGACTGGGTTCATAGCTCCGTGTGCCTGTCTATGGCTGAGAATCCTCCGTAGGGCCCTTTTGTAAATATTAAATGAGATCATATAAGATGACACCAGCCTCAGCTATAGGAAACAAGAAAGAGGTGGGTCATCTTCATCCTGAGATTTGCTTGTTGTCACTTGAGAAAATTGCAGTTTGGAAGCCAAGAGGCTGCTTAACTAACAAGGCTGTTTGTTCTTCATCTGTCCAGAGGGCAGAGAACACTGGAAGACATTACCCATGTATATACACTTCCCACGAGCAGGTTTGAATAAGCCTCCCATAAACCCTCAAATTACTGCTAACGTGAGGACACAGGCTTAGAGACCTGGAAAACGTACCTTTCCCCCAGGTCAGATCGATGAGGTAACAGAGCTGGAGATAAAACCAGTGGCTTTGGTAAGACAAAGGCTGGATGTAAATAGAAGCTACCTACCTGTACCCAAGAAACTAAATATGAAAAATACACAGTTGCTCACTTGTCCTTTCCAATTATCCTACTCATACCTCAGTTTCCTCTGTAAAACAGAGGGATGGAAAATCAGTCTACAGTTCAGTGAATCCATGATTTGGACATTAAAATTACAATAACATTATTGTAAATTTTACGATACATATTTTCTTAGTACTGTTTTTGCTTTGTTTGTGTTTTTGTTTTGTATTTTTGATTTTGGTTTTGAATTTTGATTTTTTAGATGCTGGGGATTGAACCTCAGGCCTTTGCTCTGAGCTATATCTCCACCCTTTTTTTATTTTTTATTTGCAGGCAGGGTCTCCCTAAGTTGCTAAAGTGACAAGACTGGGCTCAAATTTGCCATCCTCCTATCTCAGCCTCCCAGATTTCGGGGATTACAGGTGTGCACTGCCATGCCCAGATCCATACCCAGAGCCTAAACTTTTTGAAGGTTTGTGTGTCTCAGAAGTTTAGATTTCTTATCAATTATTAATGCTTGAAAAAGATACTATGAGAGAAGGGTGTCTCAAACAACCTGGGACATAAATTAGCATGGGTAGAAGTTAAGCTTTCAGAATACAAAGTTTCAGAAAGTAATACGTAGGCCTTCCAAAATACACATGCTAATGTCTCAGAATGCCGTACATTCTAAAAATGAGGTCAAAGCAAGCCATTCTCCTCCCAAAAGTGTAAGTTTAAAGACTGAAAATTTCATTGATAAACTCTATCCTATGTTTCTATGGTTTAGACACAAAACCAGAGAAAAAGGCAAGAGTCTGGTTTTGTTTTGTTTGGCTCTGTGTGATGTTCTGTTTTATTGTTGAGACAACTATGTTCAGGCTGGCCTTGAGCTTGGGATGGTCCTCCTGGCTCAGCCTCCCAAGTGCTGGGATTATAGGTTTGCACCACCACACCCAGCTAAGAGGCATCCTTCTCCTCCTTCTCCTCTTTCACCTCCATCTCCTCCTCCTCCCCTTCCTACTCTTCTTCCTCATTCCTCTCTCTCTCTCTCTCTCTCTCTCTCTCTCAATCTCTCTCTTCTTTTTTTGTTTTGGTCCCAACAAGAAGATATTTCTTCCATACAAGCTGGCTTATATGTGGGGGGAAAAAAATGATGAGAAGAATTTTTTTTAAAAAGCCTTGTCACTTAGCTAATACATTGTTTAATAGAAAAGATACTAAAAATTATTCACCAACTTGATGATCAAGGAATAATTCAAGTCCTTGCATGAAATTTCAAATTATCTTTACCTATAATTATAATTTAATTCATTTTCTTTCTACTGAAGTTAAAAACACAATCTTCTATTCAGGAAAAAAAGAATAAAATGCTGTTCTTTTCTCCTGTTTTTGATACTTTTTAACAACAGTTCATCAGAAAAACATCGGAATGATAATATTTTATGCATGTTTCAGACTTAATATCCCTCTCTAAGGAAAGGTTCAATTCAAGTTTGATAACATAGAGAGAAAGAAAACTTAGCACAGATGGACGTAACTATAAAAGCTGAGTTCTCCCTAGGAATCTGTGTGCCCTGCATTGACTCTGCAGTCATCGGTACTGTAGAGTCATTAATCTTAGAAGTGGAAGCACAAACCTGGTGGGCAGGCTCCTAACATGACTCAAAGCAGCCCCAACGAAGGATTGGTAATTTGCTGCCCAGAGTTCTATAAATGCTATTGCACATTACCTTTACTGCCTGCCAAATTCAGCTCCAGAACCAAGAATGGCTATTTGTGGCATGTCAGATTTTCAGCATGTTTGTGCTACTAATTTACAACATTTTAAAGATGTAAAGAAACTTCTAGAATTCTGAGAGCCTGTAGCCACTTATGTTGTTTGACACCTAGGAGCCACATTTCTAGAAAATTCAACATGACAAAGTCAAGGGCTCCCAGTTTCTCAGGTTCAGCCTCTTACTGCGAGGGTCTCCTCTTGCATTTCTCCTGAGCAGTAACGGTCCCTGGCCAAGCATTATGGGGCAGGCATTCTATAAGCATGACTTCCATCCACGGGTAGAAAGATCTTACCAATAGGGTGCCATCACTGCACTTACTGGGCTTACACAAAGATACTGAGGCAGAGGACATCATGAAAGAAAGTCACCCAAGTTCACAGTCAGCAAATGGTGTGGCCTAAGTCTAAGCTTAGGCAGTCAGAAGGCGGTGCTACCTTCTGTGAAATGGAGATAACTTTAGCAAGAAATTAATCCAAGAAAATTCTGCAAGAGAAACTCTATTTGATATCTCTTTCACTACAGTCCAAACCCAGGCATCCAAAATGACTTGTGAAGCACACATGTTTTGTATGTCGTACCCCCAACCCACCAACCAGTACTCTCCTAACTTCCATTGGTTTGAGTAGCTGTACAACTGGCTGGACTGTTTGGACCAAATCAATCTAACACTTATTTATGCATGTTGCTAAGATTACATTATGTGTAATATAATAAACCAATTAGGAAGGAGAGAGTTGAATTCTCTGATTCAATTGATAAGTTTTTGAACTGAATTGAAGGGCTGCTTGAACTGTTGGACAAGCTCCTTTGGCAGTGGGTGTACAAGTCTGTGTTCCCATAGAACTTGCCTCTGGATCCAAACCAGTGTAGTGTACACACAGCTGACAGAGTGCTCAGAGGACTGATTATACTCCAGAGTTCTTTTAAACCCACTGAGATCCAGAGGTGTCATGTAAATATAAGTTTAATTCTATTTATTGACTTTATTATTCTCTTTCCTGGAGGAATAAAAGTGCTTTTTTCAACTTACAATATCATGAGAAATAAAACACATGTAGGTCTAAAACAAAGGAGTCGAGGTGTAACAGTAGTCCTCAAAGTGCCCTTTCCAAACTTTGGAGCCGGCACGCCCTGGCAGCTTCTGTATTCTCCACCACCGTAGACTTTCCAAAAGAGGACTCTGGAGGAGCAGCCCAGCAAATTTTATCTTCAGTCTTTCCAGAGGTGCTGGTTCTCATCCAAATGCCGTTCCAGGAACAGAAAGAAGCTGCACCACCAGGTGTCTTAGGAAAGAATTTGATTTGAAAGTGAGCAATGAACATGGGTCCCAGGGCCATTCAGGGCCATTCTTTTATTAACACTGCCATGTCCTGAATAAATTCTGTGTGTTTTTAATCCCCTCTTTCAATCTTCAGCAAGAACTGTATTTAGATCAGCCAGACCTGGCCAAACAGGCAGTGGCAAGTAGATCAAAGCGGGTCCATGGAACAATTTAATTAACACTAACAGAATACGTGGAATCCAAAGCAGTCAGCCTAGTTGCAGTAATTAGCTTTACAAATAAACGTGGTCAACAATCGAGTCAATTGATGCCTTACTTGAGAATTAGTTATAACAACTCACTGAATATGAATTATTTTATTCAAGTAGCATAGATATGTCCAGCATCCTCTAGAGACCAAAAGGACTGTCTTAGCCACATAAATATGTCTTCAGAAAAAAAAAGCATGGCATGCACCTATCACCCCTGACTGGAGGTGGGGCAGACTGTGTGGGATGCATTGGAAAGACTGAAGGAGCATCCTGGAAGGTATTTGTTAGTTACCAGCATGTCTTCCTCTGTCCTAGCATGGAAGGTTCCATTGTGAATCTGCCCGAAGTTGTAGCCCTCAAGAAGAAATACAAGGCCTACCTCTACGTGGATGAGGCGCATAGTATCGGGTGCGTGGGCCCCACTGGCCGGGGTGTCAGAGACCACTTTGGACTCGATCCTGAGGACATTGATGTGTACATGGGCACATTCACCAAAAGCTTTGGAGCCTCGGGAGGTTACATAGCTGGAAAAAAGGTGAGAAATGAGGTGAAAAAGATAAGAAAGGAACTACTGGTGTCTTTTTTAAAAACCTGTGTCTGTTTGAAACCTGAACACTCTGGGGACATGATAACCAAGGCTTCTCTGAATTTCCTAAAGTCTTTAATTCACTTATCTGGCTTACGTGATTACTGCAGCCGAGTTACAGAGGGCTCACAGGGAAGTGAGAACAGGAATGTTGAAGCTCGTATCCCAGGAGCAAAGAGGAGCACAGATTGCACAATCATAGTATGATATAAAGATGCCAACAGTGGGCACAAAGTACAAATCATAAAGCAGAGAGAGAGCCCTCCAGGGTAGTATCAGGGTGTCTTATAGAATGGATGTCCATCTTGTAGACAAATAATGAGAGATTCTGTTTCACAAAGAGTGAATAATGTATACCAAGCCATGGAAGTCATGAAGAATGTTAAGAAAACTGTAAATACTTTGGTTTTGGTGGCATGAAATCACAGCAGTAGAAAAAATCAAGTGAACTGTAAAAGTTTTGATCAAGACACTGGCAGGATCAGGAATGCACTTGTAAGATATTTCTTCTGCACAATAACTTTTTCCCCACAGTGGACGGTAAGCCATGGGTCAAATCTCATCACTCTAATACTTCATGTGTATACTGAAAGGATTAAAGTGTGATCGTGTTTGACTTGTGTCTGTATCATTGAAGGGTCTGGGAACATAAAACAAGAAATATTTGAAAGAAGTGTTAAAGAAGAAGGAACAAATATTGAAACCCAGATTTGAGGGATAAGAGGCCATTGTCCTGCCCCTTTATACACACGCTTAGCCAACTGTTGATGGTCATCACATACAGACCCACCCCTGTGCCCAAGAGGCCGTGTGACAGTGGTGTCGACTCCACCTCACATGGCAGAGCAGGCCGGAAATGGTTGCACACACCTGGCGTGACTCCTTACCCACTCTCACCAGCAGTAGCCAAAGTTCAGCCTCCTGGTAAACCAGTCAGACAAACCAGAGAGTGCAGCAGGAAGCAGTCCTGTCCTTGAAAGTCTGTGATTTGAAACAACAGGCTTCCTTTCGGTCACGACACACACATATGCTTACAATGTGCAGAGTTCCAAACGGCCTGTAGCTTTCCATAATCACTGCCTCCTCCCAGACTCCAAGTACCATTTCCCCCTTCCTCCTTCCACTGACCTGTGGGAATTAGCCAGATAATGCTAAAAACACCGGGAAAACCCCTGCTCTCCCAAACTGCAGCTAAATCTGGGGACAGGTTAAATATTCCCCACCTGTCATAGCAGCGGGCACAGAAGGCCTCAAATTTAGGCCTCCCTTACCCAGGTGACATTGTGAGGTCGTGATTTCTTGATTACTTTAGCAGCAGTTCTGAGGTACAGAATCTTTACCAAGTGTAACTCTGCTTCCTGCACCTGAATAAACGGAAGCAAGCAGACCCTTGAAATGTCACATCGGGTAGACATCACATTTGCCTCCTCGGAGTGCCTTCAACTGACACCCCCCTTAAATAAAGGCTCGTGACCAGCTGCTCTGAAGATCCGCTCACTCTGATTCTCTTTCACGCTCCCAGAATATTTAAAAGTAGAGGAACTCTTATCTGCCTTTTATTCATTTGGAGGAGATGCTGGGCAATTGTGAAAATTACATTAATCGTAATTCAGGGAAAAAAAGTATAGCAAGTCTCCTTGAAATATTCGTTCTGTGCGTTTTTTAGATTCAAAAGGCTGCATCATCCGTTCTTCCCCTTCTCACCCTAACTTTCCATACCCCCGCTTCCCGCCAAAGTGTAGTTTTTTAATTGACCGCCAGATGGCAGCAGGAATTAGAGCACGTTTATGGACGCTCATGAACAAAACACCTTACTGAGATGCTACACAGTCCTAAAACAGCAAGATGCGAGACTCCGAACAAATAGAATAGTTTTCAAGACCTAGAGGGTGACCAGGAGTTAGACGGGCACTTAGGTGCGTGTGTGTGTATGTGTCGTCTGCTGGCGATTTAAAAGTCAAAGTCTCACGCACTTGGCACAGTTGGGGTGAAATTGTGATGAACCCAGATCAATTGGTTCTCTGCAGTCTTATGAGGCCCTGAAGTCACACAACTTGTATACCTGCACCTCTTCACCTTCAAACTGTTGTATTGTGTTCCTAAGAAATATATGAAGTTTCTGTTTAGATCATATACTTGATTCTGAATCATGAATAATTGCATAAAAGACTTTCATTTTCAGTCTGTTCTAAACTATGCTTTTTAACTGAAAAGCATAAAACTGAAAGGGCAGAGGATAAGAAAAACTAAAGATTTTTATTTGAAAAAATCTTTATACTTTTATTTAAGCAATTAGAGTACAGTTTTCAAAGTTTCAAAGCTTCACTATACATAAACTTTATATAGTGTATACATAGGTTGTTTTGCAATATATGTCTCATCTTTTGGAAGTTACTACTAAACATCTGAGACTCTAAACCAATGGACACAAAAGTGTCCAAATTAGCTATAAAAATACTAGAACCAACATTTTCTTGAAACTCTTAATTTCAATTTCCCTGTTGATGGGGTTCTTAGCAAATTTTTGAGATTTGACAATAATCATTGAGAGCCAAGTGTCTACAAGAAGGTAAGAATGATCAGACTCTGAAGTCTCTTTTGAAATGGCCATACTCATATTAGCATAAAAGGACTGTTTTCAAAAATAATGTCTGGGAGGTTCAGAGATTTTTTGCAGGGTAGATAGAGATCAGAGCTTTCTTTGCACATTAGCAACCAGATGAGCCATGAAAGAAAACAAGAGTTGGAAACAAGAGGAGAAAACAGGGACTGGGTGCTAAATGCTACCACAGAGAACTGGGCTCCTGTGCTGGCCTCAGCTTTGTCCTCATAAAACATCCTACAAATTCACCTCTGCTAACTGGAGCTTGCTGCTGGGCTGTGACCGTCTTTTCTCACCTCCGGGAAACAGCCAAAACAGTTCCTAAGGACCTGCAAGATTTGTGAATTTGGCTCATTCTGTGTTTGGAGCTGCGGTGGATACACCATGAAGTCTGCCTGGAGGGACTCCATGCTTTCAGACCTTTCTGATGAAATGCCAAATGACTTCTCTCCAGCTGTCAGGTCTCCGTATGTCAGGTCTTCTTCTTTGAAGAAGCCAATGGGGCTGTTTCTTTTTTAAACTTTTTACTTGCCCAGTACTTGGGAAGACATGATCAACACTTCCACCCTTCTCCAGTTATGGATCTGGAGTCCCCCTAGGTGCCTGCTGTTACCCTCTGGCTACCACACCTCCTTGGGCTGACCAGAGACTTGCAAATGAATGAAACAAAGGTTGCCCTTATGACTGACGAACTGCAGAGCTGGCAGTCTAGAGAAGGAAGTAGGATGGGACAACTGAGTTTGAAGTGATCATTAGCCCAGCAGCCTGCAGGCCACTTGTAGAAGCTGGCTCTGCTCTGGTGTTCTCAGCCCTGACTGTATTTAACAGCCCTTTGAAGTAAATAGGGGTCATGAAGTGAGTACCAAGATGTTTATTCTAAGAACCTCCTGTCTGATTTCCTCTTGAAAACCCTCCCTTGCCCTTGAACTCCAGGCCTATGGGTAAAGAAAATAATCAGGGTTTTGAACTTTCAAATGGACTTACAGGCCTCATTCTGGGGAGCCCTGTATTCCACCCTGAAGTAAGACACAATCCAGTCTAGCCTTGCAAAAGACCAAGTCCATTCTTAATTGATGGCTTGTGGCGCCAGGAACACTATCAAAGGAAGGAAATTAGGAAGCAAGAGCAGAGACTTTCCCCGACACTCTCCAGGAGTTACCCACAGAGCCCCTCCTGAGCCACACACACAAGTGAGTGCCCACCTGTAAACTCTGACTCTGGGAGACAGTGGTCTCTTCCCACGGAGCGAGAGAGCAGGACAGACAGTCACCGTGTCAGAGAGGCAATGCTGTACTGAGCTGCTTACTCAACTGAGAATACTCGTGCCTGACTTTCAGGAATTTGTCAACTTGTAAAAGAAAATTGGGGTTGAGGACCCTAGAGATCAAAAGAAGCTTTGTGTTGTTTCTTTCTCTGGTTTGATCAGTGATGCTTCCTAGGCTAACTCTTGCCACACTTGGTCCTAAAACTGCAGCTTTGCACTGTCTCGTATAGGCCATCAAGGCTTCTCACCATCATTCCTCCTTCTTGAGAGCAGGGATGGTGTTCTACACCTCTCTCAAACCCCAGTGTCTTTGAAGAAGAAGCAAAAGTAACAGACATGAAACATTTTCTAGATGGATCGGAGGTGGCCTAAACCAGTCCTCTGGGTATAGGACTATGTGAACTTGATTACATCAGGAGTCCTCCTCCTTCCCTTCTCCCTAAAATGGAACCGTGCTGTAGGTCAAGGGAAGTGCCATCAGGTAGGTAGAAGTTGAGCTGGCCTCTGGGCTGTCTTGGAACAAACTCACCTCAAGGCAAGCCTGCTCTGGTTTAGAGATAGGAAATGTCGCATTCCATGTCAGGATTCCAGGGCCAGATGCTTCGAGTCTAAATTCTTGTTCTGCCACCTTTTTGAATAATTTTCTGAACCCCTCTGTGAATCAGTTATCTCCTCTATCAAATGGGACACTCCTAGTGCCTACCTCAGAGAGTTCCTGTGGCATATAAATGACTTCATGCATCCAAAGTTGTTTAAATAAAGCCTCAGACAGACAGCCAGTATCAACCCTAACACCAGCCATAGCCCCACTGTGCTTCTCAGGGCCAGTCCCCCTGTCTAGTGTGGATAATCCTTTCTTGACAATGCTTCTTTCTCTCTTTACTCCTACTGCCACCACTCCATGAAAGGGAGGGGAAGAGCCAGGCTAAATGGCTTCACTCTGAGGTCTGGCACTGCCCATGTACAGTTATATAACCTTAGAATATTGTCCCCGCAAGCAGGGGAAGCTGGAATACAAACTCTCCAGGGAGGGTCGTGCTTTGGAGCCCTCCTCCTGCTCATGTTACCATGTCTAGCACTGAATTCACAGCCATTCAATAATCACCACTTACAACAGTAACAATAATGGCCAGCTATCTCAGGCATTCACGGTATACTGCTTTCCTTAGCTCCATATACGGATCTACTCATTTGATCCTCCTAATTCTACATCAAGGCACAAGGCCATCCTAAATTCATTTACATCTTGATGGAAAGACCTGCCAAGTTGGACAGCAAGGATGTGTGAGTACAGGAAATGGAAGAATTATCACCAATCTTTTGCAAACAATCAGATACACGTGCTTTCTTTTTTCATGCCTCTATACCTTTGTTTAATTTCACCCTTCTTCCACCTTTCCTTTCAAATTTTCTTCTTCATCTATCCTAATTTTTCAAGGCTTAATCCGTCTCATCTCCTAACTGGAACATTCCTTATCTATTTCAACTGCACACATTTGCATGTACTGTTATTTTTCATATGCATTTTGCATGTGCTTTTCCATGGACACAATTATATGTAAAATTTTCAAGGACAAAAACCACAACTTATATTCTCTGGGCACTCCTGAATACTAAATTAGTGCTTGTATATAGTAAGTACCCAAAAGATGTTTCAGAATTCATTTTTTTTCTTCACATCTCTCTTTTTGCCTTAGAGACTTCAACTCTAAATCGTTGGCAACCTCCACCTCCTATACAGGTGGAGGTTTACAGATTTTGAGGGAAAGACTATAAAGAAAGGGATAAAAGGAACAAGCAGCTGGCAATGCTCACTGAAAGTTGGTCCACATTTTCCTTTCGAGTTGCATTGATGAAACCTCTTTTGTTATTGCAATGGGGAAAGAACTAGATGTGGTTCTCTAATACCGACTGTCTAATACCAATCCTGAGATTTATGTGCCACCTTTCTGGCTTTTTTCCTTTACTTCAGGACCTTGTGGATTATTTACGGATTAACTCACATAGTGCTGTTTACGCTGCATCCATGAGCCCCACTGTAGTAGAGCAAATCATCAGGTCACTGAAATTGCTCATGGGACTGGATGGGACCACAGAAGGTAAGACTGCCACTCCCACGGTTCCTCTCCCAGACCTCTCTCTGTTACCCTGCCTCCTTCTCAAATGTGCACCTTTGTCTACTGCCTACAGCTGTACCACCTGGAACGCGCCCTGTCCTGACGAATACACATCTTTGTCTTACGAAGTCAAATTTTTACATTAGGACAGATCATACATATACTGGGATTGCTTTGTTTCTTTGGTAAATCAAAGAAAACCCTCTAATTCACCTCTTGAAACTATTTGTGAATTTGGATACTTTTACGTAATCACTTAGGTAAAAACAAACACTGTGTGTTTGTCTGTGAGTATTTCTGAGCGTGTTTTCCTGTGCTTGTCTCTTGTATTTCCCTGAAGTCAATTTAATATCAATTTTTCAACTGTTTTATATTTTTAACAGTCAAAGATTAGACATGGAAAACCACCAGAGGCCATCTGAAGACCAATCTGTGGGAAACAAACATACCTTTCTAGTCACTTCTTCCCCATAGGGTCATCTCAGTCAAAATGTGCTACCTTACTAAACTAAGACAAGTTTAATCTTCTTTTTGAAGAATTATTGCTTCAAAGCCTCTTAGAACTCTCCCTCTGTCCTAAGGTCTATTTTGTAGACCTTCTACCACATGACACACACAGGTGGAGGCACAGGGATGGGTAAAGCGGTTCCTTCTGCCTGGTACTGCAAGCTAGTGAGTACCTGTATAGAGGTAGCAAACTATACAACCCTGTACCTGGCACCCAGCTGAAATCCCTGTGCCCATCCCGCTGTCTCTCAACTCATAGAAAATCCTGAGTCATTTAATGTACACTTCCAGACCTATTTTTGATGAGAGGATATCAATCATTATCCAATACCCATTAAAGCAGCAGAGTACTTTTCCACAAATGATTTTGTAAGAGATCTTACAGGCTGAGCATTGTAATCAGAGGTTTGAAATGCTCCAAACTCTGAAACTTCCTGAGAACTAAGTATAAAATTCTGCACTTTAACTTCATCCAATAAGATTCAGCCAAAATGCAGAGGCATTAAAAATACTATATAAATTACCAGCAGGCTATATGTACACAAAATATAAATGACTTTTGTGTTTAGATATGGGTCCCATTCTCAAGATAGTTCATTCTGAAATTTTTTTTTAATCTGAAATTCAAACCACTTCTACTCTCTAGTTTTTCAGATAAGGAGCAACCAATATCCTTTGTATTAGGAAGATAAGAACAGTGATCTGATTGAATTAATGTCGCTGCTTCATATATTGATTGCACCAAAGCCCTTTACTGAATCCCATAGCTCCCCAAGACACTTGAAAAACAACATGAAATATTTTTCACTTGAGCAGAAAAATGGCGTACAGGAGAAGTTTCTTTTCCTCCATACAAAAGTCAGTGTTTGGTAAATCGTGAAGGTCTTTCTAGGATAGCCTTTGTGTTTACCATTCTGCCTCTAGCTAAGTGGTCTTTGTGAAAAGGAAATAAAATCCAGTCTAGGGAACCCTGAAAGTACAGATTGTAGGTAGTCACTGGGATTTGACTGCTGGGATGCTACTCACTGCTGTGTGTTCTCAGGCAGATGACCTATCTGTCTGAGCAAGTTACTTAGTATCTCCGTGCCTCAGTCCCTCCAGCTATAACATGAGGAAAATAATACTTTCATGTCACAATTTTGTGGGAATTAGTTAAGTCTATCTATCTAAAATACATTGTGGCTAGAAACATTTATTAAGTATTATATAATTGCATGCCATTGTTATTAGCTATTGTCCCTAAAGTGTTTGTGAAGCATCTGAACACATCTCAAGGATACTGTAGGAGGGGTAGTTATGATAGAATTGAAGCAGGACTAGATGGCCAAGGTCCTGAACTAGTCTAGATAAGATGGGTAAGGTTACCTTAAAAAATAACCCTGCACTTAGCTCAGTGGCATAAGCACCTGCCTAGCAAGTGTGTGGTCGTGAGTTCAATCCCCGGTACCAATAAAAACCAAAAAGACAAAAAAATAACCCTGCAAATCCCTGTGGCTTAACAGAATCAAGACCCATTGCCTGGTGCACCGAGGCTAATGAAATAAGTCAGCTCTGCATAGTTCTCGTGCATGAGGACAGTGACACAAACTGCTTCCAGCTTGAGATATGGCCATGTTGATACAGGATCGCCACGGTTACCAAAGGAGAAAGAAAGGGAAGATCACCCTGGAAGTGACACTTGTCCCATTGCTTACAGTCCACTGGTCAAAATTATTCACATAGCTATGCCCCAAACCAACAGTGCAGGTAAATTCAGGGATATGAGTATTGGATAAACAGGTATTTTCTAATCTTTTATCACTGACGCTATATAGAGCTGCAATGACTCCCATGTGAGCCATCAAGTTGAATTTTTAAAGTTTGTCTGAAATCATTGGCTTTCCACAGTCATATTAATTATTTTCTTGAACATCAAGTACTTTTTAATGAAAAATCAATAATTTGAGATGTAAAAACTAGAGATGAATTGACTCATATTGAGACAAGTTGAAAAATATGACTTGAAAATTAGCCTAGGTCTCAAGAAGGCTTTTCACTGATTTATTGAACCCGTGAGTGCATCCATTCTCAGAATAAGCAGATTTATATGTGTGCGACTTTGCAGGTATCCCCGTCCCTCCTCTGGACTGGTTTACTTCTTCATCACAGGCCGGGATTACTCTGTTTATCTTATCAGAGTTGAAGATCTACAGAAAGTTTTGTCTAACAATCATCCATCATTGATTCTTCTTTCTCTGAGTTGGGGTAGTTCTCCTCTCTCTCCTAGCCTTGTAATTAGGGGATTATTTTGTTATTATTTTCAACCTCCTACTTAAAGCTTCATTTTATTCCTCTTGCCATTTTAGCAAGGAGTGGGGCGGGGGGGGCAGAAAATGCCATGCGTGCAGTCTATTTCCTGAGCCAAGATAGGAAAACCAGGAAAAAAGATAGGACTGTTTCTTTTCAAAGAAGCGAACAAAGGAAAATAGCAGAAAAGCAAACTTACAGACTCATTGGCCAAGTCTCAGGTGGTCCCAGCTGGCACATCTTTCAATGAATTCAAAGGCACACAGTGAACAATCACATTGGCCTCATTTACGACAATGCCTGCTTTAAATAAAACGGACAGACAGGTTAGGAGTGCTGCATTCGCTTACCCCTTCTGCAGAGATAGACTGACTCCCTGGGTAAAGTTGCCCGTGCTCAAAGGGATGCACTGTGTCGGGGTAAGGCTGCCTGACAGGATCTGAGAAAGAGGAGCCTGGCTCCAAGCCTTCATCTCCAGCCCACTTCACTGCAACTGTGACTGGAGCCTTTCAAGGCTTTGTTTTGGGTTGAGTTTGAGGAGTACTTGGCCAGATCTGTTCCTTGATGAATGTCTTCACTTTAATCTGCAATGCAAAGCCATACGCTTCAAAGAAAGGCAAGCTACAGGAATAAGGTCAGTGTTCCTTTGATGCCAAGGTTCAAAGATGAAATAGCAGTCCCAGTGAAATGACAATGTTTATGCACAAACAGCCACCTCCATTCTGCAGCCAGGCTGCTGGTAGAGTTAATGCACTCAGACTGAGGGACTGCAGGCAGGCTGTGCATTCCATATGCACCAAGGCCCGTTTAATCTCCCGGCCTGTCACTCCGTGCAGTGCAATGAGCCCCAAGTGGAGATTTGATTTCTCCATCCTTAATGGATGTTGGGTGGTCCCCAACCAAACCAGTGCTGTAAGCCCCTTAAGGGCAAGAAATGTGTCTTGAATTAATTTGGTGTTCCTCTGAGTGTCAGACTCAGTACTCAGCTTAATAAATATGTCATGACTCAACTTCTATCTCACCAGCCTGTTGGATTTCAGGTCAGTGTTTATGCTAAATAAGATCATGGGAGTGTTGTTCTCTGAGGACTGGGAGCTGGGAATCCGTGCCACGCCAGTGGTGGAGGCTGACAGCCTCACTCAGCGAGTGAGTTTCCTTTAGGGAAGACTGCAGCCCAGTATTTTTTATTTCATCCAGCACGGTACAAGCAGCCCCAGGAGGGTGAGCCACAAACCACACCAGCTCCCCAAAAGGAGGCCTTGTCAACAGTTGTCTCATTTTGTTTAAATCTTGGATGCACATTTTTCAATTAGTCACCGTTCCTTTTCAACTCCCAACCTTCACCCTGCCTCCCTGCTCCCCCTTTCCTTGACTCCCTCTGAGTAACCATTCATTTCTCAGATATATTAAAGGTTAGAGGTGGGGTTGCATGGATGAAAGAGGCCAATCTCTAAGGCCAGACCAGGTGGGGTGTGGTGGGGTCCACCCTTAGCTCCAGGACCTTCTTAGCCTCAGGACCTCCGGTGACAGCTGAGGACATGGAGGATAGGAGGACGCGTGGCTGTAAATGTGGCATGATGCTTGGCACACATTTAACATCCAATAAAGTTACTATTACTTTTAGTTTGTCTGCTTTCTTCCCTTCTCTTTCCAAATTCTCCAGCAACTTCTGCCCTTCTCAGAATTCTCCCTTACTCTCATATCCGATCTCCTCCGTTTTATCCAAATTTCTTTAACAGTTCTTTGTTGTATTTCCAGAATCTCGTCATGTCTCCTGTCTCTACCACTCCCTCAACTTCTCTGGCCTGGGTTCTTAAAGTAGCCCCTAGATATTTCCCCAGCTATGCATTTGCTTTTTAATATTTGGTTCTCCACAGAGAAACCAGAATCATCTTTTTATTATGATTATTTTACTCATACAAATTTGCAGAATACATTGTGATAATTTGTACAGTCCATGCAATGATCAAATCAGGGTGGTTAAAAATTCATCTCCTTACACTTTCACAATTTTTGATTAAAATGTTATAATTGTACATATTAATGGTGTGTAGTGTGATATTTAAATGCATGTACAATTGTGTACTGACATTTCTGTCTTCTTACCATTATGTTGTGCTCGGAGTTTTTGAGCAGCCTGACCCTAACTAGTGTGCCCCCTCATCCCTCTCCTTCACTGCTTCGTTGGC